ACCCCTGACTCTTTGTCTGCCTGGATACTAAAATTATTGTCCATTTTTGTTTTACAAGCCTTAACAATACGCCCTTTCTTTTTACAGTTTTTACAAATGTAATTCTTAAATTTACAATTTTTAAAATCGTGATTGGCTTTATTACAATGAAAACATAACACATGATTAGCATTTACCTTAATATCTGTTTTTCGGTTATTTTCCGAACTTGCCTTAAAGTGTCCTTGCTTCACTTCAGTGTGCCTTCGTGCACTAGCCTTATTCTCACCATAGTTGATATCCACCTCTCTAGCTTCCCTCATCGAAGCTTCTTTTGACACAGCAATTTCTAGCAGCTCTTTCAACTCCTTCTTATTGGGGTCTTCTTCACACAACCGATCTAAAATTGGGCCTTGTCTCATCCCTACAACAAACTTTTCCTGGACTCTGTATAGTAGATTCGTTCCAAAGTCGCATTCTGCTGCCACATTTTTTACTGTAATAAACCAATCATTGATTGACTCTTGACCTTGTTTCAATAAATCAAACTTTACTCTTCGTCTATATATAGAAACTCTAGGTTTAAATTGACTAGCCAACAATCTAATTATTTCCTCGTAGCTCTTATCTTTTGGCTTAGCCGGTGAACATAAATTTTTCAAAATTTTATAAATATCTTCACTTAGTAGTGTCAACAATACTGCTACTCTTCGGTCAGCTTCAATTAAATTCGCCAACAAATACTGCTCCAATCTTTCTTCGAACACTTCGAAATCATCGCCCTGGTTATAGCCTGCTAGGGCTGAAATATTCCCAGCATTTACTATCGTCAAATTCGCTGTCCCTTGGGTTGGGCCCATTTCCTCGTGATCTACCATGTTCAGACTCAAAATACTTAAATAACGATTGGGAATTTACCAAGTTTTACTCGTCGCCAATTTATGTTGTGACCGAGGAGCAGTAAATAAATAAAAGGACGGCCTTTAGTTGCCGTTAGGCGCTTTATTACTATAAGTATAAAAACAAGTTAAACAAACGTTGACTACTATCTAAAAAAAAACTAAGGTTCTCCATTATTCACGGAAAAACATAGCGTCCCCCTGTACCGGAGCCAGTGTGACCAACAGCTGTCATATGTGTTAAGCCAGGTCTACACGATATGTTTCTCACGATACTACACGTGGAAAAATGAATAGGGTTCAATGGAACGATTTAAGTATAGTCCTAAAAGAAGCAGATGGTAAAAAGAGAAAAATCAAAGAAGCGGCTTTAATTATTCTAAATGAGATCAATTATGTCGCAAATTTCTCGGCAGAATGCACATAATAAAAAATAATAGAAAATAAAAGATAATAAAAAGAAAATACCACTATCAGTAAGTCAGGAACATATCGAGGATACATTATTTATGTTTTTTGAATAAAGTACATATAAAATCAGAATTTGGTGTTTATCGAGAGTAAACTAAATGTAATACCAAATACCTACCATGTCGGGATAGTACTATGAGGTTTTTTTCCTAATTTTTTCTTCATGGTTTACTATGAATATAACTAACTTACGATAAAGTCGTCCCAGGAATGCAACTCAGCAATATTGGCAATATAGAAAAAGTAGGCCATGTATTTAGGATTGAAGAAAATAGGTTTCAAAAAAAAAGGTTGAATGGAAGAATTCAGGGAAAAAGAGCCACTGGATGACCGAGAAAGCGATAGGATGGATGGATGTTAGGCAAAAGGAACCCATAAAATATAGTGATCTCAGTCCGCAGAATATCTAATCTAATTACAACTCGAATTTAGGAAAAAAAGTAGGTAACTTTTTCTTTTCGAAAATAATTTTTTTGTTATTCTTTTTTTTTTTGTAATCGGAAAATAGTAAAGTGCAGTTAGTTAGGTAGAGAAAGAGATAGCTTTCGGCGTGTAGTCTTCAAAGCCATCAATTTTTTTTATGTTGAGAAGTGAAATACGTCCATGGAGGTGAATTTAGTCTCAAAAAATGCTATTTGGCAGTTTTTTTTTAGTTAGTCACCGATTGTTTTTGCTATGCTCTATGTGGGAGATTTGTAAGACGGCATTTCCAACCATTTGAGAGGTCCACATGGTTTAAAGAAGAAATTGAGTGTCTGACTGTTGAAGATTGCATTTTGTTGTCATCCAGGATAATCTGAAGCCGAATCAGTGTTCTACCTCCCGAATCTTGTCTATTTTGTGTTTCATGGTCACCCCAGACCAATTCCAGTTTGTGTGGGACACATTTATTTGTTTTTGCAGTGTTTTGATTCAATTCCAATCCCAAAAAACTTTATTAAAGGAAATACATCAATCAGTGAAACCAGGTACTTTTTATTAAAATTATTCAAAGTAAAATTTAACAATTTTTCATTAATAAAAAATGTGCTTTCATGACAAAATAAAAAAATTATAAATAAATAAAATTATAATTATTATATTATAATATATAATTAAAGTTTTATGGATTAGCTAATTGTCATATTAGTCTTCTTTTAAATACAATAATTATTTTTAATATTTAACCCGGCACTACATATGTGGGGTTTCACAAACCCCAGCTCCCAAATATCCCTTTTAAAATAAATCAAACGCAGACTTATGCGTACGTCCACCATAATAGCTTCGCAAAAATGTCCCCACTATCGAATTCAGGCGTTACCTCAGTACATTGTAGGCAGTGAGTGAAGTTACACGCGCCTGAAACGCTCTGGGGTGTGTCAAACCCCACCTATGTACTCGCGTTTGCAATTTTGACATAAGTAAGTTTTTATTTTTGACTTATTTGAATCTGCATATTCAATTGATTAATTTTTTAGCTAAAATATCATGTCATACGAAGCGGAACAGAAAAAGCTTGAATCTCTATGGGCTGAAATTGATGACGATGCCATCCAATCGGGAAGCGATGACGATATTGACCATATTTATAAAAGCAACCAGAACACTGACTCGGAGCAGGATATCGCAATAGAAGATGTAGTTTCTGACGGAGATTTAGACATGGAGACATCAAAAACAGATTTTCAGAATGAGACGGAACCTCCAAGAAACGAAGAATGTATCTCGGAAAAGACGGAACACAGTAAGACAGTGAGAAACTCAGTATCTAGAAACTCACGGAGATGGCCCCTTACGATCGTGTTTTCTCTCTTGAATACAGCCACCATAAATGCTTTGGTGATATATAGAGAAAACAATCAAGATTTCAAACTTGCCAGAAGATTGTTCATAAAAATGTTGGGCTTTGAATTGATCCAGGACCACATATCTAAAAGAAAAAATAATCCAAGAATATCAAAAAGTATTCGTCAAAACATTGCACATTTTGGCCAAGATGCCCCTGCAGTGCCACCTGCCAAGATTCCAAAACTCATGGGAAGATGTTCAGTATGTTCAAGAAGCCGAGATCGAAAAACTAAATATTTCTGTTCAAACTGTGAATCATTACTGTGCCTGGAGCATGCTGTCATAAGTTGTCAAAATTGCATGAATTCAAATAGCGATTATTTTTTTTTCTTTCACTGTACAACCGGGCAGAGTTTTTCCTTGTATTATCTTACTATTACATTTTCATTTACTATTGTGTTTTTGATCATATGGTGTTTATATTTTTTGTAAGATTGTTCAGTTAAGTTGTGGTTTTTGCTTATGGAGAATTGCCTATTATTAGTTTATTTTTAATTTCTTTTGAATAAAGGTGTTCTGATTATTTCTTTTTTGCTTAAATAGTCCTTAGATGATTAAATAGTCCTTCAGATCATGAAATTAGAAAACATATAAAAAAACTGCCAGAAAATATTCTGATTTTCTTAGAAATTGGGGTTTGTCACACCCCACATATGTACTAATGACAGAAAAATCAACGTATGTGACGCCGGGTTAATATTTCAAAAAGTTTGATATTTCATTTCGACATATGAGAGTGAGTATTATCCTTTTCTGACATTTGAAACCTAACCATAATTTTGAAATTGAATTCTGTTTTGTTTAATGGTTAACCTCAATGTAAGCTCCGTTGAAAAAGTTGGATAATTTTCATTTATAATAATAATTTAAATTCCTATAAGTGTCCCCAACGTCTGGAGCTTACTACAAGCTAGTGGCGCTATTTGTAAATCGTTACAAATAGCGCCACTGCAAGGTTTTTTCATATTTTTTTTTAATATTTTTTTTGTAATAACTGTTGATGTGAAGTAAATATGTAATGTTCCTCTCTAAACCAGGAGTTGTAGAATTATTTCCTTTAAAAGATTTTCACCCTTTAATATTTCTTAGGAAAGAAAAGACTTTGTTTCTATCCAGCAAAGATATTCTTTTATACGGCGTCCATTTCAAATATTTTAGGAACCTTCTTAGGTGTGTTGAGCAGGAAATTGTATTTTTTATTTATTTCTTTGTAGTTACCCAAACCAGTCCCTCCCCTCTTTACTTACGTACGACCCAGCTCTCCAACCAAAACGAGAGTGGTCGCTCGCAAACGTTTCGGTTTGTTTACTTACCCTATCTCCAACCCAGTAATTGCTGTCCCCACTTTCAATCCCATATAAGTGATACCCAATGTGGTAGGCAAATTTTATCGTTACAATGTTGTGGCAATGTTATATCATAATAAATTGTTGTCACTTACGTTAATTTTTAATGAATCCTGTTCAATCGATACTCTTAAGTATAGTGTATGGGAAGGGGTATAAGTTATATAATTATACAGTAACGATGATAAATAATAATATTCAGACATGCTGGGAATAATGCATGCTTATTATTATTCCATATTCTATACCTCTGGAGAATTAAACACTTTATTGTTGCTTTGAGTCACCTGGTATGGTAACTTCCTCAGTTAAATTATTTTTCTTTACTCGTTGGGGCTTTGTGTATCTAAATGTTTCATTTACTACCAAGACCATCATACTCAAGGATTTTACTCTATTTTTTTTTTATTTTTCGCTAAAAATAACATCTTCAGTGGTACTGAAGCCATTTGCGAAATAAATGTAATACTCGAAAGGGCGATATAAAATATATTTTTGTTAATCACATAAATAAATATAAAAGTAAGCGTTCACATAGTTAAAAGTATTTTAAAGTTTATTGAAATAGACGTTATTAGAACTCAAAATAAACTTATGATTTTTTTTTTCGCTTGCACAGGCACCCTAATACCCATCAAATTGCATAATTCATTTCTAATTGGTCTGATCTCCTCGATAGGCTTTTCCCAATCAGTGGAACTCAATATGGCCATTATAGTGTCGAGATTATCTGGATTTATCTTGCTATCTTCGCCATATACTAGAAGGGCTTCGTATAACTTATTAGAAGTTGTCCTTCGTACGTAGGACTGCCGGTGGCATAGAAGGATACTTAACTGTACTAAAGCTATATCACAGACTTCTCTCTTCATCTAAAAAATTGAAATAATAAACTCATTAGCAATTTTTTTCATTAATTACTATTTAACAAGGAATAAGCCACAATTAAAGATAAAAATACGTTTATTGACGTTTCAATTTCCACTTCGGAAATTGTTCTCGATTCCCAGTTAAATATTCCCAGTTAAATAGTAATTAATTTAAAATGACACAAGAAAATAGCTTCAGAACAATATTAAAATTTTTTTTATATCGCGTGTTTATTACAATAAAACCTGCAATAACGGCCAGAGAAATATTGGCAAATACGGAAATCCAAAGGAGTTTCGCGCTAAAAAAGGTAGTTATTAAATTTGGTAAAAGTATTTATAGGTACTGCTACTCGCATCTTCACTTCTTCGTCGCAGTCTCACTTACTGTTTAAGTAGGACCGCGACAGTTATTTTTTTTAATTTTCAAAATCACCCATTGTCAATAAAGGTTGAAAGTCTTGTGTTGCATTGGATGTAGACTGGTTTAACAGGTTCTAATGAAATTTTAGAATGTGGCTTTAAGTGAAAACTTAAACAGTGAGGATTTTTACTTTTTCCAATTACTAATGGACCATCTATTTCACTTTCCATATTTGCTCATAAAAAATAGTCAAACGTAGTTGGCTTCTTGAATTTTACAATCAAATATTGACTAAACAAAACTTTCCAAAATCCTTCAAACAAAACAAGATCATCGCAATATTAAAACTTTGGAAAGATCATGCACTACTTCTAGACTAATAGCTCTTTTATGCATATGCTACAGTATATATGAGAGGATAATCTAGACGAGATTATTTCACTTTGTAAAGCCAAATATGCCCCAATAACAAGCTCGACCAACACCAGGAAAAAGTTGTGGCGATCAAGTCCTCTTCCTAACAGCTTTTATTGAGAATGACCTGCGTCTACGACACAGTGTGGGAGAAAGGTATTTTGATTAGAGATTTGAATCATATTTTCCTGGACTGCAAAATTAATTAGAGATATATGGACCAATTATATTACAGTCTACAACAAGAACAAGTATGTTTTCCACTTAGTATAGAGTATTTACTAAGTTTACATAATATGAGAATAATCAAATCACTGATTGAATATTTAAAAGAAATAAATATTGCCATCTAAATGAAAGAGTGAAACATGAAAAAAAAAACTAATAGAATTATGTGGCTAACGGCCCTGCTTTCAAGACACACACACACCCATGTAAAGTGTAATATACTTCCATTAATCCTTTTTGTGATGTTCTGTGTCATTGAGTAAATCAGAATGACAGATGATTAGAAATAGAGGTTAAGATGTACAGGTTATGGGCCCAGAAAACTCTATAGAAATAAAATATGGCAAGTACAGTAAATAATACATTTAATATTAAACTTTTGAATGGAGCCAATTATTCTGCATGGAAATATAGATGTTAGGGAAAGTATGCTGTAACGAGTGCGTTACTTAAATAACCGTTTACCTTTTTTGTGACTGGAGTCTTTTAATTTAACTTTAATTTAAATTCATATTTGAAATATTCTTAAACTGAATATTTAAATAACTCCCAGCAAATTTTACTTTCTAAGGTTGGCATTAAATCCCGACCTCTGGTGTAAGATTCTGAAAGTACGTCGACTTGACGACTTGTAAGTGTTAATAGAATTACTTGTTGACTGGGTGTGATCGAAGACAGATCGATCGATCATAGTGGCGGCTGGGAGGTGCCATTTTTAAGAAATTTAGTTTAAGTTTATTTTTTTTTATGAAGAACCGCTGATTTAAGGACAACAATTTAAGTTATTTTTGGGTGTTTTGTACGAGGATACTTTAAGTTTTGGACCACCTCAGCCGCCAACTTCCGGAACCCAGTCACAAGTCAGGGAAGAAACCTTTAGTTTTGGGGTTATATTTATTAAGGAGAAGGGGAAGAAATTTTAAGTTATATGGGGATTTAAAGAAGATTTTTTTATATATACATGGAACCCAGGTTTGGTGTACTTTTACCCACTGGAGTCTAGTTCTTCACCGGATCATCTTCCAGGGCAACCTACGGAAACCGGCAGGAAGAACTTATTTTGTTTTTGTTTGTCATTCCAATATTTTTTATAACTTTTTTCAACATCCTCTTCAAGGTTTTAACTTTTGCTTTCACTTTAATTTAAATACATATCATTAATAATAATTGCCTTCACTTTTCATAAAATATTAATCATTGTAACGTAATTTAATTATTTATTGTCCACCAAGGGATGAGATTGTAACTCCCCTTGAATCTCTCTTTGTCAGGTTATAGTGTGCACACATATCCGGAGAGGTTTCATTTCATTTGAATTTAGACTTTACGATAATATGTGAACGTATTTATATTATTATATATTTCATTTTATATTATATACTTAACTATTGCATAACCTTAGTCAAAATTTCACATTATCAGGTACATTAGGGGGGGAAATTGTTTTCATCATTATATTCAGGGTTTTCATTGTAAATATAGATTAGTTAATTGTATATAAGAGGTGTTGGGTTATATTGTTATATATAAGGGTTTAAAATAAGTTGTACATAATATAGGTATTTATTAAAGTTGGGTTAAAACAATTTAAGATTTCACTTGGTACCTATCCTTTAATATTTCAGCAATACAAGATATCTCGGAAGAAACCATTTAACTTCCTGGCGCCCAAATATTCAGTAGAGCAACTTTATCTTTCATCTGTTTATTTCTTGGTAGATTTCTTGTCATTAGTTCTTCTATCTTACGGTCACTGTAGGGCATGCAAATTGGCCTAATCCCTCTTGAGTGTCAAGTGGTCATTCTCCTGCATAGTCGCTAGCCAGCATTAATTTTATTATATTTTAAAATTCATATTTACCCTTTATTTATTTCTTTCATATAATTTATTTCTATCTAATCCCTTCCATCTTCTGTTATTCCAGATATTAATCCGTTGGTGTATCAAGGTACATTTTAGAGTTTACCCTATTGCTACAATACACATTCTTGTTATATTGGCGCCCCAGCCAATCCATTTTTGTTACAATGCATTTTTACATTTAATATTTTTTCTGGTACGCTTCTGTAATATGATCTAACTTAGGGTTGTATTCTAAAGAACTTTTAAAATATATTATTTCCTGTTGTCTCATAAAACTTAAACTGGATATCCCATTTATGATGTTGTGAATACGGAGAATTTGGCTTCTCTTTTGTATGGTTCAAAAATATACACACAAGTGTCGTGTTACCGTCACAATTAGCTAAAATTATCGGAAAGGTCGCAATACAATGGAAAGATTTATGGGTAGACCCTTCCGGACCACACCGCTTCGAGGATCCTTAACTCTGACCATATTAACGCATTCTCAATTGGCACTTCTTCGTCAGACATCGATCGATCGACACGCATCAAGTTCCCGCGTCCCGGGCGTCGGTACCACCGGCCAACTCTACAGCTTGGTACGAATTCATCAATAGAACCAAAGGGTAAGTCTATTCTTGTATAAAACATTGATAATGAGTAAACCAGTTTATTTCTAATTTATTTCTACTTTTACAATTTATAATTGCTATTTTCACCAATTTTATGTATGAACAATATCACATTTTTTCGTTATAATTATTTATTCAATATAATTTAAACCAGCGACTTCTCAAGTTTAATCATTAAACAATAGAATTAAAGTTATTTTGGAAGAAAAAGAAGTTGAACAATGGATTACTACGAATGGAGTTCAATAAGAATAATTATACGGATGAGTCACAAAAGATAGCAGCGAAACAGAAAGATAGAACTTGTAGTCAATAATTGTACAATGTACAAATAACAATCAGTTAGAGGTTATTCGAGATAAACCAACAGCTTATAATATGTGGCATGCTTTGTAAGAACGATATGAAAAAAGAGAACTATCTGGATAAATGATTTTGAGATAAAAATTAATATCTATGAAATTAAAAGAGGTCGATGATCTGGAGCAGTTTTTAGTGAGTTCGATGATGTAACAAGACAATTGAAATCAACGGGAGTGGAAATCAGGGACAAAGATTCAGTTTGTAACTTACTACTATCTATGCCACCATAGAGTTGATAATTGAATTGGCAAAGAAAAAACTTCGAGCAGAAGTAGAAATAAAGAAGGCATCTTCATCCAGTACGACAAAATATGAAAAACCAGCATAATAACCATAGTTTGTTACAGATGTCACAAGTCAAGGCATATGCAAAAGGATTGTAGAGTGAATGCAAATATATAATAGAGCACCTATGAGAGGATTTAATAAAACATGCAGAGGAAATGGTCAAATGAGAGGAAGTTTTAGAGGTAAGAGTTTTTTTAGAGGCCAGAGAGGAGGTTGTGGTCACCAAATAAGACAGGACCGTCAAACCAAGGAAATTACATAGATATGGGAGACAACAGTAACAATTACAAGTCTGGCTAATTGGCTCTGCCAAAGCCATTTTTCAGAAAAAAAAAACAGTAACAATCAGGAAAATAATATATGTTTTTTGACCGATCATGTTAAATTATATTCTGACGTATCTAGAAATAAAGATATAGATAAAGATGATTGTTTTATATAGATTCAGGATGCACAGATCACTTAGTAAACAATGAATCCTATTTTCAGTTTATATACATATATATATATATATATATATATATATATATATATATATAATATATATATATATATATATATATATATATATATACAGTGTAGGTAAAATTTTAAGGTCGGTATGGTAAAATTTAACAGGATATCTAACGCAGATATAAAATCATATTTTCAACGAATTAGACAAAGATAACAATCATATTTCCCCTTCGTCTCCCCTCCTAAAATCATTTTAACACTCATTGGCCATTGCCCATTGGTGAGACGATTAGTTCCGATCAGATATTCTCTGGTTCCGATCCTAATATACCTAAAAAACTAGAGGTGGGTCTTCTCGTTTTTTTAATTTTTATCGGAACCGTTTTTCGTAAACTGTAACTAGTTGATTGTTTACCAGTATTCAAATTAGCGAGTACACAAACATATTAGCTATTATCGTTTATGTGTATAAGTATTGAAATAAAAGAACCTAACGAAGGATATATTTATTGTAACTTGAAAAATAAATTCAATAATACAAATGGTGCTTAAATAGTTACATTTACATTACACATTATTAAATCGCGAATCGTCTAAATTGACATTTAAAAACATAAGTTTTTCCACTTTTCTTGTTAATCGCGTTCTTCCTTTATTTAAAATTATACCAGATGTTAAACATGTGTTCACAAGGAAAAGATTTTGTTACAATACTACAACATTTTATGAATATAGTGGTTAAGTTACGATATACATGGCGATGGTTTTTTCACCACGGTAATGGACAATCTCCGTTCGAAATTGTTTGTGGGTAATATATCATCAGACAATTACATGTCAACTTCTTTTATACCTCTCGATACAGGTGTATGTTTAGATGAGTCATGTCCAATTAATTCATCAAAAATACACCATGGACTTAAGTCATCTTTATCAGTTTCTTTTTCTTGGACTGATTGATTTTCAAGATTTACTAAACTTTTCGTTTCATCCGTTTTCCATAGTTAAAGAACCAGCTTTTAAAAAGTTTGCAGGGTGGATTCCTGGATATAAACCGCCAACAAGAAAAACTTTGTCAGGTTCATTACTTCAGGAATGTTATGTCAAAAGTGAGCAAATTATTAGATCGCAAGTTGTTAAAGAAGTAGAAAATATCTGTATTACTACTGACCTCTGGACATCTGGAGTAACTGAGAGTTACTTCGCATTAACACGACAATATTTAACCGAAAATTTAGTATTCAAAACTTTTTTATTAGGCTGCTGCCATTTTTCTGGAAACCATAATCCAGAAAACAGCGATTACTGAAATCATTAATCAGTCGGGTCTAAAACGAAAAGTAAATTTTGCAGTAACTGATAATTCCTAAAATATGGTCAAAGCTATTAAATATGTTTTGTTTTATGATGATTGTGATTTATGATGATGATTAAATTTATTGGTGGGGGACGCACTTAAATGCTGTCGTGTACAAATAGATAAAATAAAAAGTCCTTTTTTCGACAATTCTGCAAAAAAACACATTTCAAAACAGTACCTTATCTTCAGAAAGGCTTTTAAAGTATTAATTACAACAGAACACAGTTCCCAAACGGCCAATCCAAGACGTGGAAACTAGGAAGAACTTCACCTATTACATGTTAAAAAGAATGACCGAGTTAGAAGAGGCAACCCGTTCCACATTGGTATTAAATAATACAGACTTAGACTTAAACCTAATCTAAAGAACACTGGATTATTTGTTCTCAACTTTCCCAAATTTTACGGCCGTTTAAAGAAATAACAAGTACAATGAGTGACCAAAAATACTTGAATGCTAGTTCAGTGATTGTTATGGTACGCTGCCTGCAAGAATCTTGCAATAAAATTTTAGCAAACGGCATACTTACATCCATAGTATATGACATAGTACAATTACTAATATCGGGTTTAGCAAAAAGATTTAGCAGAAGCATCATATCAGCAGATGGCAGAGTTAAGATAGATGTACAAAACCGAATAACCCAAGGGAAAAAATGCATCCGAATACTGAATTCATTACTGTGGTCTAATAAAATAAAGATGCATACCAAACTTCGCGTATACAGAGCAATTGTAGAACCAATTACCACATATGGTGCCGAATGTTGGACGATGACAAAGAATGAACGAGATAAAGTAGACGTTGTGGAAATGGATTATCTTAGAAGGTCATGTCGAGTATCGAGAATGGAAAGAATCAGGAATGAGGAAATACGAAACCGTACAGGAATTAGAGATACTCTTTCAGATAGAATACAAGGAAGGCAATTACAATGGTATGGTCACGTGATGAGAATGGAGGAGGAGCGGTGGCCAAAGAAAGCCTTAATGTATGTTCCGCCAGAAAGAAGGAAAAGGGGAAGACCACCAAATTCCTGGAGAAGAGAAATTACAAAAACAATGCAATCTAGAGGCTTAGAAGAGGGAGATTGGGGAGATAGGAAAAGATGGAGGCTGAAATGCGGGAAGCGGCAATCGCCGTAGGACCCCCGTTATGATGATGATGATTGTTTAGTTTATTTTTCAAGTTATAATAAATATATCATTAGGTAGTTTCTTTCACTTCAAAAGATATACACATAAACGATAATAGCCGTTATGTTTGTTTATGTAGGTACTATCTTACTTGAAACTACTTTTAAACAATCATAGTTACTTGTTTATGAAAATTAAAATTTTTAAATGCTTTTTAGCATTCAAAAAAATTTAAATTTTTTTGGAATCCTGAGAAAACTAACAAATATTTTTGAAAAATTTAAATGCAGAATGAAAGATTACATTATTACCGAGGGCCGAAGGTCCCTTAGAATAAACAAAATGTTTTTTTAATGAGATATTTGAAATTAAAAATCACACTAAATTTTGTTTTTTTTTTCATCCCTATAACTTATTAAAATAAACATTATAGAAGTTTTCAGGGACTTTCAGCTCTCGGTAATAATGTATTGTTTCATTCTGCGTTTAATTTTTTCAAAAATATTTATTAGTTTTCTCAGGATTCGAAAAAAATGAATGCATTTAAAAAACTGGTCCGAAATTTTGCTCCTACGCTCTTAACGATAAACTAGCACGACCCACCTCTACTTCTCGTTACTCGATCTTTTCACCAGACGTGACCAGACGACTATCTAGACTAGACGTTGCCAAATAAATTAGTGTATGAATATTTTTTAATTTGGCGTTATTGTATGCATGTTTAATTGTTTATTATTTCATATTGGGAAATTATTTTGATGTTTAGATTTTTAGTTCGGAAATCGTACTTAAAATACGAAACATTAATAAATTTTATTTATATAAAACGATTTCCGAAATGGAAATCAAAATGTTATATTACAATTATTGTAAAGAAAACTTGTGGCATATTCCCAATAAAAAAAACAGTAACCTGCCATTTAAATCAATTTCGCCCAAATTTGATTATCTTGAGCATTTTATCTTCTTGATAGAACATTGTTCAAATGCAAAAAAAGACAACAGGTCAAATAAAACCAATAAGTTTGGCAACGTTGAATTTCCCCTTTTTTAATATTTCCATTCGGCGATATAAAGGGCGTACCTAATATACCTCTCTCTTTTTAAACAGCTGTTTCTCACTCCATCTCACGTAAGGTCCATACCGACCATAAAATTTTTCCTACACTGTATATAAACAACACAGTTTATTAGGGATGCAGTCAAAATATTGGCGGGGATGTTCAAAAAAACACTGTTCTCACCGTTCAACAGTTTGAACCGTGGGAGTGTCAAGGTTGGCGCAGCCACATCTTCAGCGAGATGGTGAGTGGGATTCGGAGCGGCTATTTAAGGCATGTGAGTAGCGGAATTAGCCAGTCTTTAGCTAGCGCTCTAGGATCGCGACTCGCAAGTGTAACTGAACCTGCGAGACA